CACTGGAAGCCAGCCCCCAGCCCCCCCGGCCCAGCACCGGGCTCCAGCTGTCAGTGGCGTGGCTGCTCGTTGGGCCCGTGTCCCCCCGCGTCCCCCCAGGTCCCCCAGCCGCGGGCTCCCGGCCGCACAGAGCAGCCCCCTGCCCCAGCCCGGACCCCGGGGGATGTGGCACAGGCTGGGAGCGATGGGGGTCAACGTCACCCTCTCTGTCACAACATCACCGTTACTGTCACCCACTGGGTGATCCCTGGGGTGGAGCGGGGGCACCCACGGACCCCCCCAGCTGCACAAAATGCCCCCATGGCCATTTGCTCCCCAAAGCACAGGGGAAAATGCATAGCCTTCCCCGTCCCCGCGCAGCCCCCCATACCCACGCAGCTGCTGCGGAGGGAGGCAGCCCAACACGCGGGAGAGGGGATGAGGGGGCTGCGTGTGCCCAGCCCCTGTAGCCCCCGCCCCGGGGGGTGTGGGGTGGTGGCCGCAGCAACGCGTGCATCGCCAGCCCCTATAGCAGTGTGATGCAAGCAGGTGCGGCGCAGGGTGCTGTGCTCAGTGCCAAGGCACCGTGGCTGCTGCGGTGCTGGGTGCGGTGCGGTGCAGCGGCCAGCGCAGAGCACGAGGTGCTGCGGACAGCGGGGTGCAACATGCCGCACGCTGCGGGTGCAATGTGCACATCATGGCACACAACATAATGCCCGTTCAGGGGTTCGGCGCAGCACGTGCTGGGGTGCACGCTGTGCACGTGCCATGTACGGGACACCTATGTGATACATATGTGCTAGGCAGCACGCTGCGCGCCGGGGGCAACGGACCACGGCTGGGGGTGCGCTGCCGAGCGGGGTGCGCGGGCAGGACGTGGTGTCAGGGGACGTCGTGTGGCGCAGGTTTGGGATGTGCCCCAGTGCCTGCGGCACGGCGCAGCCGGGCACGGCACGGCACTGCTGCGGGGCCCATTGCCGCAGGCTGCGGCGGTGCCCGTCGCCACAGGGTTCCCCCGGTCCTGCGGGGTGTGCCCTGCACCCGCAGCTCTTAACGTTCAGCCCTGCTGGTGCCAGGACCCGCAGAGGGTGCGGAGCCACCTCGGGGGGCAGGGGTGGACGGGATGGGTGTGAGGTGCCCCAGACCCCCCAAACCTTCAGCCAGCCCCTATGGTGCCTATACGGCCCATTGAGGACCAGGGTGGTGCACGGGGCACCTATAGGCTGTAGGGGCTGCGGGTGCCTGGCGGGTCTGACAGGGGGGCGGGGTTCACACGTGTAACGGTGGGGACGTGCACACGTATGTAGTGGGGCGCAGGTGTATGTGACGGGGAGAGAGGATGCGCGTGTGTCACGGGGACTTGGTGCACACGTATGTAATGGGGGTGCACATGCATGTGCCATGCATGCACCATGTGTGCAATGCGTGTGCAGGCAACGTGCACACGTGGCAGCTGTGCCTGCACACTCTGTGCGAGTCTCCCTGCACAGCGTGTGTGCAACATGTGTGCCCGGTGCCTCTGCATATGAGTGCACTCCCGCACCGCCCATGTTGTATCCCTGCGTGCACAGGTGTGCAACACGCGGGTGCAAGGTGCCGTGCATGCGTGTGCGAGGCATGTGCGAGGGCCCTGTGCCCCACGCGTGGCTGTGCGGGGCCACACTGCTGGCTGATGCAATCAGTGCGGGGGAGGCAT